AGGGGACCGTGGGAACGGATGACGGGGGTCTGAGTGGCCGTGGTGCTCAGTGAGTGAGTGGGGCTTGGAGCTGAGTGTGCCGACAGTGAAGGTAAGGGGACCGTGGGAACGGATGACGGGGGTCTGAGTGGCCGTGGTGCTCAGTGAGTGAGTGGGGCTTGGAGCTGAGTGTGCCGACAGTGAAGGTAAGGGGACCGTGGGGAACGGATGACGGGGGTCTGAGTGGCCGTGGTGCTCAGTGAGTGAGTGGGGCTTGGAGCTGAGTGTGCCGACAGTGAAGGTAAGGGGACCGTGGGAACGGATGACGGGGGTCTGAGTGGCCTTGGTACTCAGTGAGTGAGTGGGGCTTGGAGCTGAGTGTGCCGACAGTGAAGGTAAGGGGACCGTGGGAATGGATGACGGGGGTCTGAGTGGCCGTGGTGCTCAGTGAGTGAGTGGGGCTTGGAGCTGAGTGTGCCGACAGTGAAGGTAAGGGGACCGTGGGAACGGACGACAGGGGTCTGAGTGGCCGTGGTGCTCAGTGAGTGAGTGGGGCTTGGAGCTGAGTGTGCCGACAGTGAAGGTAAGGGGACCGTGGGGAACGGATGACGGGGGTCTGAGTGGCCGTGGTGCTCAGTGAGTGAGTGGGGCTTGGAGCTGAGTGTGCCGACAGTGAAGGTAAGGGGACCGTGGGAACGGATGACGGGGGTCTGAGTGGCCATGGTGCTCAGTGAGTGAGTGGGGCTTGGAGCTGAGTGTGCCGACAGTGAAGGTAAGGGGACCGTGGGGAACGGATGACGGGGGTCTGAGTGGCCGTGGTGCTCAGTGAGTGAGTGGGGCTTGGAGCTGAGTGTGCCGACAGTGAAGGTAAGGGGACCGTGGGGAACGGATGACGGGGGTCTGAGTGGCCTTGGTACTCAGTGAGTGAGTGAAGGTGGGTGAAGGGTTACAGCGGAGCAGGAGTGTGAAGCCCTTGGGTAAATACACTTGAAGCTAAGGGATGGAACAAAGGTCTGTGTGGCTGTGGAGACAAGTGGAGACAACCAGAACCCTTGCTGGGCCTTGGGGGCCGCCAACAGCACCCTTCAGGTGACTCCGGAGGGTCGGATGGTTCCTTGACACTTGAGACCCACCTTTCCACCGAGGCTCTGCTGTGGGGAGACCATGTAGCAGAGTGGTTAAGAGTCAGGCCCAGCTGGAGAAGACTCTTGAGAGTCTCTTGGATAGCACGGAGATCAAGCCAACCCTGAATATCCATTGGAAGGACTGATGCTGAAGCTGAAGCTCCAATAATTTGGACACCTGATGTGAAGAACTGACTCACTGGAAAGTCCATGGAGTCGCAAAGAGTTGGACGTGACTTAGCGACTGAACAACAGCAGTAACAGCTGTCTTTGAAATCTGCCCCCTTGGCCTTGGTGAAGCATCGTCACCTCTCAGAGTGCCAGTTTCCTCAGCTGGAAGATGGGGCTGTGATGGTGCCCAGTTCATAGGGCACCAGGTCGGCTGGTGATGCTCGCTGCTCTGGGTGGACCCCTGGGCAGAAAGATGGCATTGTGCTCACAGGAAAACACCCACTTGTGAGCGAGCTGAGGTGCAGTGTGTGGCCCGGTAGGTCGGGAGCTTTGTTAATGGACGGAAAGGCGGCCTGCTTGGTGCTGGTTGCTTCCTGTCCCGAGCTCGTGGCCCTGGGGAGTGGGCCTTGTTGGAAATTGTTTAGTTTAGGCCTTCCTTGGCTGTCCCCTGGAGAGCTTGGGTGAGGCTGGAGGGAAAGGCCCCAGCAGCCCATTTTTCGTGAAGTCCTTCCCAGCCCTGGAGTGGGGGGAGAAATGAGCTCTACTGACCTCGTTTTGGGGGCCCTGGTGGCTGCAGGTACCTGGGGTGAACTGTAGTTTAGGCTCGAGGTCTCCACGATGGAAGCTCGAGGCAGCCTTTGGGGTCGGGGCTCGGGAGGGCTGGTGGCGGCTGCTGTGCTCTGCGCCCCCCATGCGCTCTCAGTCAGGACCCTCGGGGGACTCTGGCTGGATGAGGGAGGGACATGGGCCAGCAGGGCCAACCCCGAGGAGCCAGAGCCGGGTCAGGGGAGCGGGGAAGGTGCGCTCCTGATGGCCCCAGGGGCTCACTGAGCAGCCGCTGAGGGTGGGTCTGGGAAGAAGAGACCCAGAGGGTGCCCCAGGGACACTGGCACCTCAGCGCTCTGGTCTCTTGGCCTTGGGCGTCTGGGGTCCAGGCCTGGAGAAGGGCGAGTGACTCCATGTTGGAACTTGTAGGTTCAATTTCTTATGTGGCTCTGGGTGGCCTCTCAGAGCCTCAGTTTTCTGAGGAAAGCTGGAAAAATAACACCATTTTTCCCGATCGTGAGGCTCAGAGGCTGGGTCACACGAGATTGCCTTACAGAGTAAATCTTCGAGCAGGATGGAGGGCTTCCTGCTCTCGAGGTCTTGGTTCTGTTGACGCAGTAGAGGGGCCCCCGGGGACTGGGTGTCCAGGGAAGTCCCGCTTCTAATAGTACTTCAGGCTGTGTGACCCCCGGGACCTCAGGGTATGGGGTCCCCATGTCGCCCACCTCCCGTCTCCTGCCCCTTTCCATGTGGCCGCCTTGCCTTCCCATTTAGGAGACAGCGGCGGGGAGGTGACAGTTCCTTAAAACAGATTTATACTCTTGGATGACTTTATGGGTTTTTGCCTTATAAAAACCCACGAGTTGACATTCTGATTTATCTGCTCCTGAGTCAACAGGATGTACCAGATTTAAAGAGATCAAATGCATTGTAATGTTTGTGGTTCCAGTTGTGGATTAGATGAGCTATTATGGAAAGTGCTGCCAAGTAAATATGGCAAAAAAAATATAACAAGGGGATAATTTAAATATGTCTATTAAACTGTGTGTTAAGTAAAGTAGCACCGGCGTGGTGCTGAACGTAACTTATTATCTGGAGACTTGGTGTAGTAGATAAAGTGGGAATTATGGTTCTTTTTTTCCCCCTTCAGAACATTTTTTTTTTTGTTAAAGGAAGAGACTGTAAACTAGGAATTTCAGAGCCGGGCGCTTGACTGTGTAACCATGGCTGTGTGATGACTTATAATATTGAAGGCTCCAAATGATATTTCTCATTTCTTTGCTTTCTATTTCTTGCCGTCGCCGCAGCAGCAGATCAGATTTCCTGAGATAAATATGCTGCCTGGGTTTTAATGGGATTTCTGTATTGCTGGGAGTTGGCGTGTTCTGATAATAAAAGGACCTAAAAATTGTACATCCCTTAATTGGTAAGAAGAGAGATGTTTTGATGGGCCACAAATGGAAACATTGATTTTTACTGCCTCCGCGCAGCTCCAAGCGGCGTGTCACGCCACGTTCCCCGCCACGGAAGGCGGCAGCTGGCTCTCCAATGAGCTGATTTGTGTTTGTAGGTTCTTGATGTCGGGTGCTTGGGAGTGCGCGTTCTGTGCGGACGGGAGAATCGGAGCCCTTATAACATTATCTGTTTCTAAATTGAAATATTTGTAGGACCGTGGCTTCCACCTCGAATCGAATGCATTCTTTGCTTTGTTCCTCTTTCTTCCTTTGGCGACCAGTCCTTGGGGGTTTACAGGCTGTGTGCCGAAGGCTTTTTCTGTTACTGTGATGTTATGGGCAATACACACACACACTCACGCAGGCACACATACATACACATGCACACATACACACACATGCACACATACACACACACACCTTTGCATATGAGTATATGTTTGCATCAGTGACTTTACATGTAGTAGAGATTTCTCTCTTTAGTTTAAATAAGCGCTAGTTTCCGCACAGGTTGATCTGTTTCCCAGGACAGAATGTGGGAAGAGGTGACAGGCACTTTGATTTTCGATTCCAAGTCTCTGTATTTTAATGGGCAAGTTTAATCCACTGACATTTATTGGGATGACTGATATATTTTGTATGTAATATTTGCCATGGATTTTTTTGCACTTTGGTTTACAAGTTCTTGTTGGGTCCTGTTTATCTCTCAGATTGAGACTTTGCTCCGTGGGGAAGTGCACTGGTTAGGAGTCAGGATGTCAAGGTCAACATCTGTCTGGGGCTAGGCATGGTACAGCCCCCTGGCTGGAGGCAGGTGCCTTACCTGTGAAAGGGGAATAACAAAGCTGCCCCTCTCTGCAGGGGAGGGGCAGTGCCAGAGTGGAGCCAGATGACCACCTGAGCCCCCTTTAGCTCTGGGACGTGTAAGACTGTGAAATGGGGCTACATGTGTGTATTTGTGACTTTGAAGATGCACAGAATGCTATGCAAACCCAAAGCATCGTTGTCATGACCATTCATCATGAGTTCAGTTTTCTGTACAGTTTATCCACTGGTTTGCATGGTGCTAAGCATAGACTTGGTATTTTATTTTAAAGAAGTTGGTCCAGTGATCCCAAGGCTGGGTCTCACTCTCTAGGCTGATACTGGGGTGCAAGTGAGGGCTCAGGTGGCTTTTAAGCAGCGATTTAACTGTCCTTGGTCTGCAAACACATTTGCTTCTTTGATTTCAGAATCAGGACATCTTTACAAAGAACTAAGCCAACCTCTCACCACATTGAGAGGCATGTTGTGTGGAAGGTTAGTCTGGCTAAGAGATCTCTCAGCTTTAAACCACAAGGCTTTAGGGGAAACTTAAAGTTTGTGCGTTAGGAATAGCTGATCAAAACACTAGAGAGGTGTGTGAGAGAATTGAGTTTTTAGGAGACAAAATGCTAAGGCATTTTCACCTCCCTAACGGGTCACGACCCCTAGCATCCACGCACAGAGGGAAGATGACAGGAAATCCCTCTAGAAGATTTGCAGCAAGAATTAAATAAGCTAGCTGAGAATTATGGCACCACATGCTACAAAAACCCATATATTAATATACTGAGAGGTGTCAAGGATAATGGACCCTGGGAGGTAGAGTAATTAAATGTATCTTCATAAATGCGGGGCGATTTCTTTTACAATGCTTTCCCCAGACCCCGTCAGCTGACATGGACTGTATTCTTCCTGTTGGCAGGAGGCCTAGAAGGAGAGCCAGAGTGTGATCGAAAAACCAGCCGTGCGCTGGAAGACAGGAACAGCGTGACAAGTCAAGAGGAGAGAAATGAGGACGATGAAGACATGGAGGATGAGTCAATTTACACCTGCGATCACTGTCAGCAGGACTTTGAGTCTCTGGCAGACCTGACGGACCATCGGGCCCACCGCTGTCCTGGAGGTAATGTTAAATAGCACTGGGATTCTGACAGGTGGTTATACGGGTAATTGGACATAGCAACAGCTTGAAGCCTCAAGTGAGATTAAAGAATTAATAATGTAATTTTACAGTTAATGTCATTTTATTGTGGTGTCTTGGGTACCCTCTTCAATAAAATTAAAAATAAAAGCAACAGCTTTGCGGCAAGCAGGAGTTAGGTAGAGGTACCCTGTCCTTGCTCCCCAAAACTGCTGTTTGTGGTCCATGACCCCTAAGTGGGTGGGTCTGCACCCTGGATTTCTGGAAGGCCTTTTGGAAACCTAGCAATTAAGAGGTTGTTAGTGCAAAGTTAAGCAGCTTAAGTGTGGAAAGCTGCGTGAAGGAGTGAGCTCTGAGGCAGGGCTAACGATGGGATGGGGAGAATTTCAGAAGCCAAGAAGTGCGCCTGCAGAAAGGGACCTGGTTCCGCCTCTGCACTTGGCCTCTGCTTCTCTGGGTAGAAGGGTGGCTGTGAGCAGTTTTAGCTAGACCTGACGATGGCCCTGTGTTCTGTTTACCAGCTGCCTCAGAGAAGGTGGACAAGGCCGCAGTTTCTGGGAGCGATTTAAGACTTCACGAGTCAAGTGTGTTTATGTGTCTGGGATATATGGGGTGTGAGGGGTAGGAGAATGGGGGCATGTGTATTCCCTGGAATGTGGCAGCCATGCTATCCCGTTAGGGTTGACATCTTTCCAGGCTTTGAGCAAGGAGGTCAGAGCATCTGTATTCCTTACATAGCTATCCTGAGACACTTTCTTCTATTGTGATTGTTGATGCAATCTCTTGGGTGCTGGTTTATGGGGATAGGACCTAAATCTCCAACTAATACTCCAAGGAGGATCTGACACCTGTTTTGGGAGGGAAATTTGCTGGTAGGAGGTAGGTTGGGACTCAAAGTCTTATTTTCTCTACCTGTCAGGCTGTCTTGGAAGTTTGCTAGCCGAGTGTTTGGGGAACTTTGCTATGACTTTTCCTCTAGTGACATCTGTACCTGCACAGCCCTGGATGGGCCAAGTCCTCACTCTCAACCTCTAAAGGGAATCGATATCAAAAACAGTGGACCCAGGAAAGACGCAAAGTTTTGAACTCTTTGGGACTCAGCAAACCAAACCCCAGTCATATTGGAATTTGTTAATATTTCTGTCATTGGCAGAGGAGATGGCCAACTTAGATGCTTAGAATCAGAATTGGAAGGGATTTATGCAGTTGGCTTTTCCAGTCGTCTTATTTCCTGGGGGGAAATATTGAGACATTGAGACAGACAGATGATTACTTAACCCGGGTCACATAGCAGTTTGGTGATGGAATCAGGACCTCCTCAGCATCTTGGGCTACAGACTCTCATTCGACTTGAGAAAATAGTTGATGCTGGTGTAGTTCTTGATTAGCCATGAACTGAAGTGAAATCTTAACTATAAGAGAGTGAACTATTGGTACATATTTTAAAAACAGTTAATTGATCTTCTAATTAAAAGCTATTCTCTTTATGTTCTATCACACTGCTCTCGTGTAGTTGTTAAAGCAGGGCTTCTCAGTTCCACTGCTGAGTGATGCTTTGTTGAGTGTCTGTAGCTCTTGGAATGAGGTGCCGTTCCTGGCACTACCCAGGCTCTCCCCTCCTCCAGTTCTTCAACATCAAGGAGATTCTTACATCTGTTACCACACTTGTGAGAATGGTGGTGCTTCTAGGTGGAGAAGGGAGATTGGGAGGCTTTGGGGCTATATGTGGGAGTCTGTATTGGAAATTTTAAATGGTAGCTATTTGTCCTTTGGTCCTGGGCAGGACTGTCTTCCCAGTGGCGGTCTCTTTTCTTCACAGCCTCAGACTTTGGCGGAAATCACAGCAGCCCCATTTGCAGGGTCTCCAGCCATCTTTATCGATGCATCTTTATCCACCAGCTCCTCTGCCTGCTTCCTGACAGGACCCCACTAACGACCTCCACTGGGACATGGGAACCAGGAATACCCCCAAACCCTGGAGCATTGGACAGGAGTCAGAGATTCCTTGAAAGAGTACAGGAAACAACCTCGCCTAATAGCATCCCTGAGAAATTCATTCCCACCCAATCAAGGCTTGACCCAGCCTGGGCAGGTCCCCCGAACATGGAAGAGAGATGCAAGGAGTTATTTCCCCCCGTTCTTAGGACTACTCAGGGACAGGATATACTACTGGGAATTGCAGGCATATTATTCAAAACAGGGCTTCCCTGGTAGCTCAGCTGGTAAAGAATCTGTCTGCAGTGCAGGAGACCCCGGTTCGATTCCTGGGTCAGGAAGATCCCCTGGAGAAGGAATAGGCTCCCCACTCTAGTATTCTTGGGCTCCCCTGGTGGCTCTGCTTGCAAAGAATCCTCCTGCAGTGTGGGAGACCCGGGTTCGATCCCTGGGTTGGGAAGGTCCCCTGGAGAATTCCATGGACTGTATAGTCCATGGGGTAGCAAAGAGTCGGACACAGACTGAGCGACTTTCACTTTCGCTTATTCAAAATAGGTCCCTACCTAGGACGCCTCCAAACATCCTTGGATCGTGTGGTGGTTTTCAAACTGCATCCTCAGAGGTGTCTCTGGGGCTGACTGAGGGGCTCTGAAACCTACTCCAGACAGAGCTGGTACCTTAAAAAGTTTGTTTTAGACATTGAGCTTTAGTTTAATATCTTCAAAAATTGGCTTCTGATTTAAAACTTTGGAACTGGTACAAAAATGCAACAGCAGGCCCTCCTAGGCCAGCCTCAGGGGTCTCTGCTGGACGCTCATCCTTGGTCACCTGGTCGCAGTACTAGGGACAATGCAGGTGGGCATCGTTACCCCCATGGAGCAGACTCTGGAGGGAAAGGTGGACACTTTTCAGCCCAACGAAGACCGTTTCAGACAAGGATTGAGAGGACCCTGCTCTGTGAGGCCCGGCAGGCTCTGGGTGCTCAGCAGACGCTTCTGAGGGAACAGATGAGCCTAGTTTTGAGAGAAGGTGGAGCCTCCCTGCTGTTGAGGATCTGGGGCCTGAGGGCAGCACACCTGTCCATTGGAATCCGGCTTTGGGCGTGAATAAGAAGCTTTCCTGCCTAGGGCTGTCCTCCTGGAATGCGGAGGCAGCACAACCCTCCCCAGCCAGGGTACCTGGAAAGCCCAGCCCAGGAGACAATGTTTGTGGGGTTCAATCTTGAGTGTGGCCCTTTCTATTATTATTGTTAATTATTATTATTAATTTTTTACTGAAGTATAGTTGATTTACAATCCTGTGTTAACTACTTCTGTACCGCGAGGTGACTCAGTTATGTACATTCTTTTCCAGTATGGTTTACCACCGGATATTGAATATAAGTTCCCTGTGCTGTAAAGTAGGACCTTATTGTTTATCTATTCTCTATACACGAGTTTGCATCTGCTAATCCCAGACTCCCAATCCATCCGTCTCCCCGCCCCCTGCCCCCTGCCCCTACCTTGGCAGCCACAAATCTGTTCTCTAGGTCCACGATTCTGTTTTTGTTCCATAGATAGGTTCATTTCTGTCATATTTTAGTTTCCTCGAATGTGGTCCTTCTTTGAATTGCTCTCTGGTGGAGTGAGCTCTGGGCTCTTGCTGTGGCGTTTGGGGTGGGCGTGGGGGCACGGCCTTGTTCCATCAGACTCCGGGAGAGTGGTGTCAGGTCTAGACAGTTTCTGGGGTGGGGATGCTCCTCATGGAAGGGGAGCCTCCTACCAGAATGGTGGTGATGGCATTCATCGGGAAGCTGCCCAGATCCTCCACCCTGGAGCCAGGCCTGTCTGTACTGAGGAACCCTGGCTTCCAGAGTCTTCCTTGTTCCTTAGCAGGAGTGGCAGTGCTGGGTCCAGGAGGGCTTGCTGAAGTGTGGGCTTCCAGAACCGAAGGTAACTCCATTGAGACCTGTTTGTATTTCTCCTTCCCTCTTTCTCCATCTCCCGCTCCCTCCTTTGTGTCTGCAGAGAAACCGACCTTAAACCCACAAGCCACCAGACATTGCATCTTTAAGACACGAAGTGAAACAAGCAAAGATCCGGTCCTCTCTGCCGATGCTCCCACCCCCAACAGCTGTCTGATTTCTCTTTGTTCCCCTCCAGTCCCTGCCCACAGGATAACAAATGTTTACATGCTTGGAGTTGTGGGCACTTACCATCTTATATTTGGCATTTGTTACTGAACATTTTCTGAATGGATTCTCATATTGCCATGTGGTCTTCTGCATTATCCTTTCTGGAGAGCCCTTCTTGTGAAGCTGGGTTGCTGGTAATGGGTCCACATACTGTAAAAATATAGACCAATGTGCCAGTAGGTGAGGATTTTTGCAGCAGAGTAGATAGAGGCTGACTCAATGTGTGATGGACTTGTCTGTTTCTGATGGAGTATCCTTTGTGGGCACCAAGTGGGGAAATGGCTGAAGTGTTGGGTTGCCGTCTGAACTGACGATAGAAAGTCCCCATTAATTTTGGTCCCACCACAGCGAATAATGGGGAACAGGGAGTGAGCTGAAGTTTACATTATGTCATTTCTACAGTGTTGGCCAACCATGTCTGGGCCCTATAAATGGTTGAAGGGGGGTGTTTCCCATTATTTTTTAGGAGCCAGGAGGATATCAAGTGCCTTAGAAAGTCTTTGAGAACTTCCTGGGGCACTGTGGAAGAAGACATGAGAGGTTTGATTTACCCTGGGGGCTGATTCCAGTTTTTTATGTGCTCGTTGAAGCAGGTCACCCATGGACCTTCAGTCTGGATTCAGGTGGAACGTTTTAGTGCTTCCTGATACAGAAACTATCCCGATACTCTGTGACTCAGACTAACCGCTTGTCGGTCCATATTAATTAGGTTGGCTGCCTGAGGACATCTGGGTGCTGGATCTACACGTTGCAATGCTTTAGATCCGCCTTCTCCAACCGTGTCAGGAGCAGGGCTGTGCTGTGTCGGTCTCAGGACAGGTGGGTCCCCAGGACTGGAGCACCCAGTGGCTTTTGCGGGTCCCTAGTTTCTTTG